TAAAGGATATTATTCTAGCCTTTGCTATTTAATTTTATCTATTACACGTCGTTGATATGGTTAATAGAGTCAAGATTTGATTAAGACAACTAAATAAAGTACTATATTGTAGTTAATATTTTAATTTGTATGAATGTTAGGTTTTATTCCCAAAAGCAGCCACGATTTTCGATACATTTGGTTATATTTTTGTTACTTGCTACAAAAATGGATTATACATGTCACATTATCACTACATTTTATCTATAATAATAGTACTTCCTTTGTGATAACAACATTTGCTTATAAGGATAGTGTTGCTTTAAAGTGCTAATTAACTAGTTAAATTAAAAGCACCACCATCTAATACAATATTAGCGCAAAAAATATATTAAAAGTCATTGTATTTACGTGAATTTCATACCAAATATTATAATCCGCTCCCCCTAAGCCCTCATTTGACACTTGTAATTTAATAATTTAGATATATTTTTGTTTTCAGGATCGATCTAAACAACTTTTGAGAAATAAATTAAGAAAAACTTATGTTTTACTTATGTATTTAGACATTTGAGTTTACAAGTGGTGAAGTATTGCAGCTCAAACAAGAAAATTATAGAATTGTATAATGTTCGCCAATAGAATATATAGAGCACTTTTTAGTACCTTTATTTTCTTATTTTTCATAATATTGGCCTAAAAATAATTTAAATAGAGATATATGTTCATTGCGGATTCATATAGTTCATCCCAACTTGTTTAGGAACTGAGATGTAGTCATTATTGTTTGCTATTTTTACAAGTATTAATTCAGATGCCATGCATAATAATAATAATAATAATAAGCAAAAATAAAGAAGAGAATGTCAATTCATGTCCTCAAACTCATATATCTCTTCTGTCTAATCAAATCATGAATTGAAATAAAAAATTTATTTTACAAAAGTCACTTTAATTAGTTGAATGGTGACAAATGACTTAACCAGTGACCAAAGTACGCACTCCCAAATATTTGAATATAGCTGGCGTGTGGTAAACTTGAGCTTTCCCCACTTCTTCATTTAATTAAGTTATTTTAATTTAATTTCCACTTAATTCATTTTTAATTAACCTACCTTAATACCACTCTTGTCATTTTCCTTATTCATACTTTTCACGAAATTGGAGATAGATAATTACATCCACTACCATATTTGAGTTTGTTTAAAATTGATTCATTTTATCTATAAAGAGTAACACAAATTAGGAAATTTTGCTTCCACTATTCTACCTTTCTAAGCTCGTACTTTTTTTATTTATTTATTGGCACTTGCATTATATTGTTGAAGTAGAAGGTTAGCATTATTTTGCAAATACTTTCTGAAAATAGTGTTAGTGTTAGTTTTTTTTTCTCTCGCTTGGTATCCGGTAACCAAATTGGGGCCTCACTAAATTCAGATTCGCGTCGAAAAGTCCCACATTGAGGTAAAACGTTTACTAACAAAAACGACTCCATACCTAAGGCTCAAAATCGAAATCTCTCGTTAAGGACCACTCCAACATAACCCTTATTAGTTTGCTTAAATTCGGAATTTTGAAAACGATGTAATAATTAGAGCAAAGTTCAAAATTACATGACCAAATAATTTTTCTAATATAATGAATTTCACGCCAAAAAATGATAGGAAGTAATTGTTGATATGAGAAAAGAATTATAAATATGTCATATTTTAGATCGTCTTAAAAAAATAATTAACTTTGAGGAGGAATTAAGAAAAAAGATGAATTAAAGCATTAAAGGTTCAATTCATGTGCATGAACTTCTAAGCTCAAAATCCTTAAGAGGACAATTCAACCTTTAATTTTTATAAAAATAAGGTGTAATTCATGCTCTTTTCAAATATAGTCGAATATGGATCTTTGAATCTTTTTGTAATCTCCTTAAATTAACAAAAAAGAAAAGAAACTATATTTGCCTCCACCAGTTAAGTACTGTTTTTATACCGTTAGCAATGGCATTCACACCTAACCTGAAATTGTTTGTCTTAGGAATAAGGCTTAAGATATGCTTTAATCCTTCAATTTGCACGGAAATTCCTTTAATCTCACATCTTGAGCCTACTCAAATCATTAATTTAAATAAATAAATGTATTGTTACACAAATCAAAGTGGCTTTAATTGAGTGGTGCCAAATGACTTAGCCATTGCTTAAGTGCTAACTCCTAACATTTTTAAATAGCAAACGTGTAGTAAGCTTGTCTGTTTCCCACTCAATTCTTAGATTAAATATGAAATAAAAAATAATAAACTGAGTGATTTTCTCTCCCACATAGTTCATTCATATTGTGGCCACTAATATCTCTTAAAATCACTCTTATCCTTTTCCTACTTTTATTTTATCCATTCTTTCCATCTTTTTTTTTTAGTATGGAATGAATTTATAGAAAATCATTTATAAAAGATCATTTTAAAAAGAGCTTTAATTTTTTAAAGTGTATATATACAGATAGATATAAATGGAATTAAAAAAAAATGAAGTGTTAAATCTAAGTGCATTCACTTCTAATTTAGTACACCACCAAAAGATATGGTGTAACGGATGTGGCTGTTGCCTTTACCAAAAGTCTCGGGTTCGAGCCGTGGGTATGGAAAAAGCCTTAGTAGGGAGCTTTTCTCCCCAAATGAGGCCCTACGTAGCGCGAATCCGGATATAGTCGGTCTCTAATACGGGTAACGGACATCGAGTAGGAAAAAAAAACTTCTAATTTAGTACATAACCTAAATAAGAGGACAATTCAATGTTCAAAAAGAAAATAAAATATACTATAAAGCATGCTTTCTTGTCAAATTAGTTGAAAGAGGAATCTTGAAACTTTTTGATGATAATCTCTTTTAATTAATTAATATATAAGTAGTAAGTTTATCTCCACCAACTAATTCTGCAATTGTTATACCATTTAAAAATGGTATCCACACCAACCTTGGAGATTTTTTAATCTTTTAGAGTCAAGGATTCTTCAATTATTCATACTAAATGTCAAAGAAAAATGTAACTAGCTATTTAGCTAGGTGGAAATCTAGAAAGGCATTAATGAAACCAAACATATAGAGTGAAGTTTTATTTAATTTGGGTATTTTTTAAATTTTAATTTTTATAATCATCAGCTATCCAAATACTACCTACTGACTCATCGACTAATCCAGAATCGCGTCGCCTAAAAGGAAAAATCACTCCTTAATATGAATTCGCTTAACATAAGACACAAACTTTGTATTTCAAAAGTAAAACAATCTTTTCCTCAAACTTTCAACTTCAAATGATCAATTCTCCTTTCTTGAATTGATCCAAAGTCCAAACAAACAAATTTTGATACAAAATTCCTCCATTTTATAGAAACTTTCCACATTTTTGTCATGATCAAGCACTATTAGCAGTAACTTGTTTTTCTTTTTATGCATTATCATAAAGACTAATAAAAGTGTATAATCTTTTATATTTTCTCTTATCTATAGAAAAAGCATAAATAGAGTCAAAACATTTTCCAGAACTGTCCAAGCAAAGGAAGGTGAAAGTAGAATATATATGGATATCCTTTTACACCACTAAGGGGACACAATTATTGGACATTGTAGATCCCATAAGAGAATTATCACTGCAAAAATGTGAACTTTCTATTGAAGGATAGTGGACTTTGAGTATTTGCAAATCTAGAATGTAAGAAAGACTTGTCCAAAAGAAGCTATTGTACCACGAAAGAGCGTGGTCGAATGGTAAAGGTTCCTCCAATTCTAATCAGACATATTGTATTCTAGCATTGAAAATGATATTTCTTTTGGTACGGATTGCTAGACTTGTCCAGAAGAAGCTATTGTACCACGAAGGAGCGTGGTTGAATGGTAAAGATTCCTCCTATCTTAACCAGATGTATCATATTCGAGCTCTGGAAATGAAATTTTCTTTGGTAGAAATTGCTAAATCCTCTAATTGTAAAGTTTTTATAACGCGAATTTGAATTAATCAAGCCAGTCGGACACCCGATGGTTAACAAAATATTCCCAAGGATTTTGCTGGAGATGAGAAGGCACTCATTTGGTTCTGATTATTTTGTAAAATATCCTATAGGAGTATAGAATTGCAAAACTTTGTATTTATTTGTAACTTTTCAATCTAGAAATGTAACTTCATTCGATTCTGACCAAACCTTTCTTATCTCATTTCGCTAACTCCTACCGAATCCTACAAAGATTTTTTTTTTCTTCTTTTCTTCAAAAGATAGTCTTTTATTGAAAGATAATTTTGTAAATATGAAACAACCCCTTCTTAGACAAGTGAGGGTTGCACAGTCAGTAAAAGCACCTTCGCCCACGACCGTTAGGTCTTGGGTTCGAGTCACGCTGGAGGGGAAGTATAGAAACACTATAGATACTCCTAATTTGGGAGGAAATCAATACCTTCTGAGAAATTCAAAAATAACTAGATTTACAAGTGGTCATTCAAAAATTGCCACAATTTTAAAAGTAATCGAAATTTAGCCACTTTTCATGTAAAGATAAATCTGTACGAAAACACTGTTCAAAATCCGGAAAAATACTCCTGTATAATACACGGGTCCAGCATAATATACTGGAGATTGGAGCACCGATGCTGGAAGTTCATACATGGGTGCACTGATCTCCAGTATATTATGCTGGAACTTTCCGTGTTGCAGCAAAATAGTGGCTATTTTTCAATGACTTTGCAAACGCTGACTATTTTTTAATGACCAGTTCGGAAACTGGCTAGCCCGTGCTATTTTTACCTTTTAGAAATATCTTTCAAAACTTTATAATTTTGGGGCTAGTATATTTGGGCTGGGTTTAATCTCTACACGTCGAGCAAAAGACTAAAGATCCAGGTGGGCTATTCCTGAAAAGAGTTACGAAGGAATATGGGCTTTGAAGGCCCATGTACTTGGATGGTTCGAGCCTTTGTGGGTCCATCCATCCCAATTAGATGGGGGTGAAGTACACAAATAACCTTAATACTCTGTTTGGTTAGCATCCGCACTAAAACAACCACCCACCAAAACAAAATAAAAATTCCTATTAAAACTTAAAACTATTCAAATTACACTTATACTGAAACTACTTACTTCAATCAATGGCGACTCCTCCCTATAATCTGGCGGTGATAATCAACAACCCTTCAAATGAATCCGAATTTCTACTCGTTAAACAAACCCCACCTCCTAAATTCAACGATCCTGAGTATGACTCTTTCTTGGATTCCCCTCTTTGGGATTTGCCTTCTGCTCCATTAATACCTCTTGATTCTCCTTCTGATAATCAGATTGTAATTCAAGTCCCTGATTCTTGTTCTCATGAGCTTGACTTAACTAAATTTGATCTTAATTCAGCTCTCCATAAGGTACACTGAAAGAATTCTACATAACTTTCTTAATTTATTTGTTTGCTTCAAATTATTAAGGGGAGCGCATAACGTGACCACTAGGTCACGAGTTCGAACCGTGGAAACAGCCTCTAGCAGAAATGCCGGGTAAATCTGCATACAATAGACCCTTGTGGTCCGGCCCTTCCCAGACCCCGCGCATAGCGGGAGCTTAATGCACCGGGCTGCCCTTTGGTTTGCTTCAAATTACTTTTTGCTTATATTTGCTAGGTTATTAGCATAGGCAAGAAACATACTTTCCCTATTCAGTAATTCTCGCTTTGTCCCAATTTATGTAGTACTCTTTCATTTTTTGTCTTTCCCGAAAAGAATGACACCTTTTATATTTAGAAATAATTTAACTTTGAAACTTGTTGTTTAAAACAAGTCATAGCCATTTGTTTGATTATAAAATCATGTCATTAAGGATAAAATATGAAGTTCAAAGTTAAATTGTTTTTTAATATACAAAAGTGTTATTCCTTAATCCTTATTGGACAAACTAAAAAGTAAAGTATGACACATAGAATGGAACAGTAGCGATTAAGCTTTATTGGCAATTAAACAGCTTAAGACCAGTTAATTGAGAAATGATGTACCCAGAGATAACTTGTTATTAATCATGTATCTTTTGCCTTTTTGTTATACTAGCGTTGTCATCATAACTATCATTATCCTTAATTATGATTCATGTTTGCGAGAAATATTCCAAAAGAGACTTATTTCCAGATGCCGTGGTGTATACATATGTACACTTTACGATATGAAGTGGTTAAAGCTTGTAGGTGATGATTATTGTAGGTGCTAAAGCAAGTGGAATTAGAGGACACCACAGTTGAGTGGAAGTTCCTGAAGTATGTACAGGAGCCTGAATTTGGACCAGGATTGCCCGTAAAGACAGTCTACATCACTGGAACTTTGGGTCCTAAAGATGGCAAATTGACGGGTTTGACTGACTTCACTCAGTTTATGTTTATCTCTTTCATGTATTGATATGAATGCTGCTGTTGTGATTCAGCTGGTCTTACATTATAGTCTTACTAAAGAGAATCAGTAGTCTCCCAATTTGAGCTTGCTCTTAGTCCACCTTAAAGAGCTACAAGGGTCGTTAACTTGTTAGATGTAATTTCCATACTTGTGTCTTTATTTTGGAATTAGAAATAGATTTCGAACCACAATTTTTGGTGGTTCGTGTGTAGGCATGGTACTGCCAAGTGGTTTTACTTCTGCAGGACCAGTTATAAAATGATAACTACTCTTCTACATAGTTTCATACTGATAAATCTGCTATTTTGCTTTGCTATTTTCCCCAAATGAGATGGCATCCATAATTGCTAATGAGTTACAAAATACTACATACCATATTTTTTTATTCCTCTCCACGATTGTCAAGAATGTAACATTGTAACTCATATTGAACAGATGTTGAGTTCCGCAAGTGGATGAGCACCGATAAATGCGTTAGTATGCTTGTTGAGGTGAAGCCTTGTAGTGACCGTGTAGGATCATTGGTGGTTGTTGGTCTTCTGAATGATTCAAAGAAATCTAATGAGACTTGGAAAGTTCCGCAGACCTTGCGGTTTCAGGTTTGTTATTTTTTTTTTCCTGTACATGCTTACCTGTCAAAGTGTCATTTAGAAATGAGAAAGAAAGAATAGATTGACAACTATTGGTATCATACACAACTAGGGACTAATCATCCTTAGAAGTATCTTGAAAAACATTAATACCGTTCTTACATGAAATTTCACGAACTGACCAGAGTTTTTTCTAAAGACCTGCAATCAAGAAATAAATTAAGGGATAAGCAACAGATATCAATTGATGTGTGAAAATGTAAACATGGAAAATTCTGTTTCTTTGACTTTTTTATCATCTTAAGGACAAAATACTGCCCACTAATGTTTTTTCCCCTCATGTATCAGGAGTACCCTCCTGGTGTTAAAGTTATACCTATGGAAAGTAGAACAGCTAAGCCTTTTCGCACAACAAACTTAATTGTTTTCCTGCCTGGAGGCAATGATAGTGGTTGCGATGGTAGTTTTGTTGCCCATGGGGAAGCACTCATAGTAGACCCCGGATGCAAGTCTGCTTCATATGAACAGGTTAGAGGTAGTACATAATCTACTTCATAATCTTTTTAAAATTTGCAATGAACAAATGACATTTTTTCGGTCTTAGAAGTTAAACCAGAGAATACAAAAAATAATCCTCTCAAGCAACTGTTTTCGCAAATTTGGTCTTAAGCAGACAGGGTGTAGCAATTTTCCTTTACTAAATATAGATGCACTTGGGTTTTTGTACACTTGTTAATACATTTTTTTTAAGTGTGAGAGTTTCACAGGCCTAAGTGCATCTTTGCAAATTGTATAGCGATTGGTTGACTATAACTCTATAAGGATCATGTAAACAAGCAATGGTGGCAAATACTAGCGTGATACCTGCCTGAGTAAATTCTGACCAATTGCTATAAGAGCTAGGTTCGCTTCTACTGAATAATCTTTGAACAATTTGGCCAAAATGTTTCTAAGGTGACAGTAGATAACAGCTCATTAAAGAGTCCAAATAGCCGTCTTTCAGAGTTCCTGAGCAATTGTCATACTTTATTTCTGTGTTGCTACATTTCTTGTATGTTTGCTTACCACCCCATAGATTATGATAACGCTTTAAGGATTCACCTTTCTGGCCGAAGGCTTTGTTCTTTATCCTATGATCTTCCTTGCTGGTTATCCGGTGCTTACATTTTGGATAAAAAAAAATAGTGTATGTGGTTTGTTAAAAGAAAATGTCAATTATTTCTGGCACTTTCAATTGCAAAAGAAGTAGAGGAGGTAAAACTGAGAATATTCATTCAACGTTAGTACATTTAATGAAATAGATAGCTTTACCTCTGTAAATGGGTCTTTGCACGTGTTTCTCTTTTCGGTATGTGTTGATAATCTATTTAGGAGTGGTTGAGACACTTATTATGCTTCTCTTTTGTTTTCATCTTTTTTTTTTCTTCTGGTAATTGGTTCTGCCTTTTATGCTGTGCTGACATATCGATGCCCTGATGCTTGGATTACTAGCTCAAGGAAATCATTGCTGCTTTGCCGAGAAAGTTAGTCGTCTTTGTGACACATCATCATAACGATCATGTTGATGGTAAGTAGCTGCAGAAAGTTTCACATCCAGACCTGGAAATATTCCTCTGCTTAGTGTTATGCTATCATCTGATTTTCTCAACATTGATGTCATCATATATATTCATCAAAGGTTGAACTTGTGTATTTGCCCTTTGTTTGAAAGTATCTTTCTTGAGCCTTCTGGCCAAAGCCTAGTTTTCATGTAAAGTAAGTCACAAATTTCATTTCCCTTGCATCTGGCCCTTTTTATGGATCAGAAAAAATAGCCTTCTTTTTGCAGTTATGAATTTACAAACAGTTATCTGGCTCGTCAGCGAAGGTTTGTTGACTAATTGCAGCATGGCTTTATTATTGGATGTCTATTTCAATAGAAGCAGGGGAAACTTTATAACACAATGAATAATTTCTTTAGTCTTGTTGTCAAAGGTATATTTTTCTTTCTCTGTCTGCCAGACTAATGTGGAGGTTTTTTAAGTTATTCCTGAAACATAATCTGGTGCTCCATGTGCTTGCTGTTATGCTCAGGTCTTTCAGTAGTCCAGAAGTACAGTCCTGATGCTTGTCTTTTGGCTCATGAAAATACGATTCGTCGCATTAGAAAAGGTCAGAACTTTTTTCAATTCTGTAGAATAGAAAATGTCTATCTTCCCATAATTACATCACCTTAGCAAGTGTTGCAGTTCTCTACCCCTTTTTTTGGGAATCTCTATCTTCCCTTTCAAGCTAACAAGAAGATTGCTAGTTGACTATGACTATATTAGTGTAAATTCAAGTGAGCTTAATAAAAAATATACTCATGAAACTACTTCATGCACCATTTCCATCTTATTAATCTCTCAGTACGTGTGAAAGAGAAATATTCTTCATCAAGTAAATGAACTTAGTAACTTAGAAGTAATTTCCATGTGATGCAGATGATTGGTCTCTTCCATATGTTTCAGTTTCTGGATCTGAGGAAATTTGCATTGGAAGTCAGAGATTAAGAGTTATCTTAGCACCGGTAATCTCCATTTATATCCTGGTTTCCTCTGATGAGAATCAACACTACCCCATGAAATTCTGTTTATGACATTCATTTTGTTTGATTCTCTTCTGATACTTGTTGAGAGAGTCTGTTTCCCATCTACAATTGGCTGTCTGGCATCAGATTGATTCCTTAATGAATCTACCTTGCACTTATCCCTGTTTGTGAATTTGACCTTTCTGCAGAATTGATAAAGGTGTTATTCTCATTATAAGTGAAGTGTTTAAAATTGATGCTACGGGCGAAATTATTTCCTTCTACATTGACACACTAATAGCTAGGACTTATAGGAGGGGGAATCTCTTGACGACTTGGCCATTAAAACATCTTTACTAGAGCATGGTGACGTTTTGATTACATTTAATTCCAGAAGTTGTAAGAAACAAATCAAGTTAAAGTCATCTCCTAGTTTCACTTCCGTTTTAACTTTATCTTCCATGTAACACGTTCACATTTTCCTGTAATCAGTTTTGCGAAACTTTTAACATATTCTTTTGGTGACAATATTGTGATTCAGGGGCATACAGATGGACATATGGGACTGCTTCATGTTAGTACAAACTCGTTGATTGTGGGGGATCATTGTGTGGGGTAAGATTTTTTAGATCAAGAAACTTCACTCCTTTAACAAATTGGCATGTTCACTTGATAAATAATTTAAGGACATGCTTACCAATTTTTATGTAACTTCCTAGTTCTTCTGAACAAGTTTTTAGCCTTTTCAATAATGATATGGCAAACTATCTGTTAAAGAAGTCTGTGATTGTGTTTGGCCAACTTTACATTTGTTTGTCATAGCTTTTATCATTTCTTTTCCTCTTCCTTTCTTGATAATTGCTAATTTGATGTATCCCTTGGTTTTCAGCCAAGGAAGTGCTCTCTTAGATATTGCATCTGGTGGAAATATGAAGGTATGTTTGCATCAAAATCTCTATGTCTTTTTGCCCCTCTTTCATATGTGGAATGCTAGATAGAAGCTGATGATTGGCTGTTTCCTATTTATGCCTACTAAAAAGATCTGACTCTTGAAGCTTAATCAGCCAAAAAATCCTGACATACCTTTTTCCCATATAAAAGCCATTTACTTGTTTTCATATCAACGCCTTTCCATGCGTTCTATAATTTTCTTGAATAGCTTTCTTTTTTTCTCTTTAACTTTTGAAACCTTTTGTGAACTAGTGTCTCTACTCAAAACAGAGGGAATTAAGACTACACCACCAAAGTCCAAACATCTCGTGCAATTTGTTTTCCAATTTTTAGGTTCTTAATTTATATCAAAAGGATCAGCTACACCCATGAGAATGCTCTTAACAGTTTGAGTAAATGGAATGACAATCTAATTCTAGTTTAGTGTTTGTTGTGGGGACTAAAAGGGTGAAACTGGTGGAATCATTGTTTTCCTTATATTGTCTTTCAGAGGTGCTTTTATCTACGCTCAGGTTTCCCCTAGTAAATTTGAAAACGTCCACTCAATAACCACTAAAACTTGTTAAAATAGTGGATATGTGTTTCTTGTAGCTAGTGGTGGGGTGTTCAATAAGAGCGCATATCTGAATTATCTAAAGCTAAATTACTATCTACTTTTACTAGTTTTATTTTTATTTTTCGATAAGGATTTTTGCTCGTTTTTTTTTTTAAATTTTATAATACCCTTGTGAATAAGATAAGGATTTAAGTAAGGAGTGTGTGGTCATATGTATTTTATCATCGGGTTCAACTATGAGTTGGATAAGTTTTTCTTCTTTTCGAAGTTCTCAATAATGAAATTGCAAATTCTTTTATATAGGATTACTTTGAGACAACATACAAATTCATTGAGCTCTCCCCTCATGCTTTGATCCCAATGCACGGAAGAGTTAATATGTGGCCAAAACACATGCTCTGTGGGTATCTCAAGTATGAAACTGATACCTCTTATGACTTATTCCATATTTGTTGTTACCCAGAGTGCCTTTCTTTGGCAAAATCATTGGACACATTAATAGATATTCAGTTGATGCACATCTAATTTAGTGTTAACTGGGATTGTCAGAAACCGGAGATACAGAGAATCAACCATCTTAAAGGCCATAGAGAATGGTGCCAAAACGTTATTTGACATAGTTTCTTACACTTATGCTGAAGTTGACCGAAGCCTCTGGTTTTATGCCTCATCAAATGTGAGACTCCACGTGGATCATCTAGCACTGCAGGACAAGTTACCAAATGTATGTCTTCTTTGCTCCCTTGTGGATTCAACCTCAATTCTTTTTAAGTCTGAGCTCATCTTCATTATCACTTTTGTTTAGCATATGCACATCCAGTTTCAATTATTATCCATCCATCTTCTTATTGTTGTTCTCATTGTTATTTACTACGCTTCTCAATGGAGAACTATTTGCACATTCAATTTTCTGTCTCAATATCCCATGAGTAATCTATTGCTCCCCTCAAGCATTGTTCTCATTGTTAATCGCAAGTATGCAAGATCTGGTGCACTGTCCAGTAGTGAAAAATCAACTCACTGAAGCCTGTTAATCAGGTTAAATATATATAGGAAGAATGGTCTGCAAGAAGGATGTCAAATTAAGGACAAAGAATAAGCTTCTAAAATTAATGCTCCTCATTGAAATCTACATTGCATGGCTATCTTACAGGCTATGAATGAGCGAGCTCAGTTTACTGTCAAAACTATCAGTTTGGTGGAGTTGTGGTCCATGGAATGCGGTATCTTGTAATTTTTGTACCAACTTTCAGGTTGAATGATAACTTATTACAAGTGCTTATGTTTCTTGAATTATTTTATCATGAAGTAAATATGATTGGTAGTCCCTTTTCGTGGAAACTTTTGGTGATCCATAAACTAGATTTGGGCCCCTAGAGAAAATTATCGATGATAGTGTATGCAAACACTTCTGGATGCTGATTTGCTCTGTTTCTAGCTTGAGTGTGGATATAAGTGCAATAGTGGCCATATATTCATATGTCTTTAGAACTTAATTGATTAGGATCCCAAACTTTTCTGTGTCATGTGCAGGACTTCTCTTTAGAAAATTTCAATCGCAGTTGTGCTGAGTTTGCTGACAAGGTGCATAAAAAATAAGGAAACTTTCAGAAAGCTGCCCACTAAGACCTGCAGTTACCTTTATTCCTTTAGGTTGGACGGCTACTTATTTTCCCTGTAATAGTCTGTACTGCCTAAATAAAATTCATCAGATACAGTCTTGAATACAGATCATTTTCTCAAAAGCATTGTATCTGTTTGTGACTTGGTTTCATATTATCAAGGGCCTAAAGTTATTTCCATCATTGATCTGCAGGATTTTTCAATCCAAAATTTTCAAGCAACTTGTGGTTTGCGTTTCCTTTTAAGGTGGCTATTCGAATACTCAAGTAGTGCATTCTCAATAAAGCATCACACGATTAGAGCGGCTTTACTAGTTGGTACTGTGGCCGTGGCCACTGGTTGCTTGGCTGTATCATTCTCCACAAAGAAACAAACTTTTTATAGGTGATGCAAAGAATTCTTTCTCCAGAAAGCAGAGTTTATTAAGGAAGTTAATACTGGCTGGCTCCAGGTCATCCTCTCTCTCAATGTACCAGTAGTTCTAAGAGAAGGGGTAAGACATTTGAATTCCCGGTTTTTAGGAGTAAAATACTCATTGATAATGTTGTATGCATATCTCGCCACACTTGTTCTGCATGTCTGCATCTCTGATATTTCTTTGTGGCTGAAGTATGAGATTGGATTAATTAGACAGTAGACAAGATTATTGTTTATTGATCACAAAACTTCTGAGACAGTTAATACAGAAACCATCTTTTGTTTAGCTGTGCCTGTTATTCCATCGACGAGTGCATTTTTCATTAGCAGTGCTATTATTTTCACGGATGATGAGCATCAAGCTCACTAATTGTATATAGTATCTTCTTTCTCTTTTTACTTTCTAAGATCAATGCCTATTTCTAATGTAATTCTGCACAATATGTTGTTCAACTCCTTGCTTAGCCACTTTTACTGAACCAGTGGATGTGGCTTGCTAGAACATTAGTCATTTTAATCACAGAGAATTTTTACATTTCCTTTCTTTTCACATGTAATCCATGTATGGAGCAGGTCGCGCGGTGTGGATATAGTTTAAAGTGATGGTAAAATATGTAAAAAGGGCAGTAATGAAGTAAATGCTGTGCATAATTTATCATATACTGTTTCTGTGTCAATTTTTTTTTCTTCACGACATGAGTTTAACTTCTGTGCACAGACACTATACGATAACTCGAAAAATAATGTAGTAACATATTATAACAAGTTAAATTATAGTGATAGTATAAAAGTGTCTTTACACTATCAACATATATTTAAACCCATTCCTTTATACTGTCAGTATATACAACTTAAACCCGTTCTTTACCATTCATTTCCTTCACACTCTGTTCTTTCTTGAGACTCATAATTGCAGTTTTACTTTAACTGCAATAAAAACAAAAACCACACCTTACTTCTTTCATTTCACATTTTCTTCTTGCCCTATGCCAACACTTCCCATGCCCCTTTGCATTCATTCCCTTTACACATTTTTTCTGCATTCCTCATTTTCTCACTTTATAGATATCATAAATTGACTGACACCTTATGTTATCATATTTAAACTAAACAAAATAGAAGGTAACAAGAGATGTACATAGCCATGTTTGTTAGAGAACTCTCTATATACATCAAAAGAGAAGTTAGGGAAATGAGTTTCCAAATTATTACCACAATAGTCTTTACTTTGTCTATGGCATTTTTTGTACTACTATTAGGAATGTTTATCAATGACCAATTCAAGAAGATTGTTATTTATGAAGATTTCTACTTCCCTCATCAACTCACCACAAAATTCTCACCAATGTACAATCTCTCTGTCGTCTCGACACATCTTGTTTGTAACTCTTCATCTAATTCTAGTACTTCCAATAGTAGCATGGAGTTGAAAGATTGGCTTTCTCCTAAGGATCTTTGGCACGCGATGAACGACGAAGAACTAATGTGGAGAGCTTCCATGGTGTCTCAAATAAAGGATTACCCTTTTAATAGAACTCCAAAAGTGGCATTCTTGTTCTTAACAAGAGGAAGATTGCCATTGGCACCACTTTGGGACATGTTCTTTAAAGGAAATGAAGATATCTTCTCAATATACCTACATACTTCACCAGATTTCAACTATGAGCCTCCTCCATCATCTGTGTTTTATAAAAGAAGGATACCTAGCCAGGTTCAAATACTTTTTTTTTGTTGGTATTTAGGCAAAATTTTCCTAATTATTTTGGTTTTTACCTATTACATTTTGGGATCTTTACACAAATAGCCGGCCGAATTTACTATTTGCTTTTCTTAACAGGTAAACATAAATTATACACTGATTATACATGATAATATACATATTATATATAGATTATACATATTATACATTCACCGACTATTTTTAATTTAAGCGATTGGGTGGGCGACTATTTAGGTTAATTCTTCTTACTTTTTTTTTTTGTTGATTCCTAGAACTTCATAACTTTATCTATGTGATCATAATGCCACCATGCATAATTAAAATTTCCTATATGCCAAGGAATAAAGTGAACCAAAAATTGGGGAGAAATAAAGAGTCATTTTATCCTAAGTTGGTCGATATGATTTAAGCTAAATTTTCTATAGTTTTCTGAATAATTTATGGGGCATTATCACTTTTAGCTCGCGATAAAAACTATTTACATTTGGTAGCCGAAAAAGTATATATAATTTGTTTAATTTTTGTATATAAAAACATATATTTTTTTGCTATTATTTGAGAGTGGCAATACAGTATCATTATCCCAATAATTTAGCTTCTATATACTGACAGATACTTGTAATTAACTTTTAAGTAACTTTATAGGGGGGGGGGGGGGGGGAAACCCTTCACTTAAGCCTTTGTTTTTGGGATTTTCTATAAAACAACCAACTCAAAAGTACTTTGTATGAAATTTAGGTAATTATTTCTTGTATTTTGGTAACCTTTCAAACCATGTACGACCCATGTTCTATATTATTTATCTATTAAGGTTTTTGTACACTCTTTAAGAAAGATATTTCAATAGCCTTAATCAGAAGAACATTTGCTTAAAATGCCCTTTATCTCTCTTTTAAGCGTCTGACTTGATTAACACTCCACTAATTAAAACTAATTAGGGTTGCTTTAGAAAATAAATAAATGACCTCTCGTTTTTCTAATATTTCTAAAAGAAATTCAGTCAAAGCTTGTCGCACCGGGCATGCCTAGTGCGGTTTACATCTCCTGTGTGGTTTGCGAGTTATTGCACACTGAGCAGGTTACCCAGTGCGCACCCGATTCCCTGAAAATTTTCAAAAAAAATAAATAATAATAACTAATATTTGGGACCGGGGGAGGGATGAGGGAGGGGGGAGTAATTTCTTTTGTATACAAAAGTGCACCTCATAACATCATAAGTACTATCTTTCATGCAGGCAGTACAATGGGGAAGAGCAAGTATGATCGATGCAGAGAGACGACTTTTAGCAAATGCACTCCTCGACATCTCTAATGAAAGATTCATATTACTCTCCGAAACATGCATTCCTTTGTTCAACTTCACTACAATTTATAATTTCCTAACAAAATCCAACCAAAGTTTCCTAGGATTATTCGACGATCCGAGGAAAATAGGTCGCGGGAGGTACAACAAACGTATGTATCCGATCATAACAATTTCAGATTGGCGAAAGGGCTCGCAATGGTTCGAAGTTCATCGCGAACTCGCCCTTAAAATTATCTCCGATGTGACATATTACCCTGTTTTTAAGAACTATTGTACACCACCTTGTTACATGGACGAACATTACTTGCCAACATTAGTGAACAAAGTTTGTCCTAAATTAACGTCGAATTGGAGCGTTATGTGGGCCGACTGGTCAGCTGGCGGTTCGCACCCGACAACATTTTTGAGGAAAGATGTGACGGAGGAGTTTTTGGATAGTGTTAGGTATGGGTTTAATTGTAGTTATAATGGAGAGTTGAGCTCAATTTGTTTTCTTTTTGGGAGGAAGTTTCATCCTAGTACTTTGCAACCTTTACTTAGGATTGGACCAAAGTTGTTTGGTTTTGGTTGACCGATTATTTCCTTGTCTTTTTATAGAGTTTATAAGTATTTTCGAGGGACGGTATAAAAAATATTTACAAAATCAAATCGCTTGTAATAATTGAGTATCATCAACCTTTGCGTTGGTAGTTTCAAAATTGTATGAATTTATTGAAATATTACACATCTCATAGCGTTAATCCGCAATAATTTTTTTAGAGTCAATTACTCAAATGGTCACTCAACTATCTCAATTTATCTGTTAAATTCACTTTTATTTCGTTTATAATTTAGAGGGTAAAATAGGTATTTGGAAATCCAAAATTTGGAAAATCTAGTTGAGTGACCTTCTGAGTGCAATATGCATAGTTCAGTGACTTTGTTGTTACAAACGAAAGTAAAGTAACTTTAGGAGATAATTTGGGATAGTTGAGTAACCATTTGAGTAACGCATTCATTTTTGACTTTTAGAAGTTGAAGACACGAACATCGTATGATCCTACCAAACAATTATTTGAAAATTACCCAAAAAAACAAATCATTAACTGGTAATCACATGCATTGTCATTGATAATTAAAATCCACATTTATTTTTATCGTACAAGACATGGGCAGCTAGCTTGACCATACAACGATGCCAAATGCAACAATCTCCATTATTTTTTTGGGTATTCGAGAAATTCTTGGGAACTAGTAACACACAGTTTGAAACTCGAATTATCTTTTAGTTGATTGGAGTATTATCTCTAGTTGTATAATTACTTTGCTCCTCTTTGTCTGTGATCAACACATGTCTCTAGCTAATTGATCGAATAACGTAGAAGTAACAGTTCAGTCGACTAATAATATTGTCCGCTTTAGGTATAAGTTTGTATGGTTTTAAAATGCGTCACTAAGTTTTAAGGGCTTGTTTATATATATATATATACCCAATATCTCTTCCGTATTTTGTCTCACAGTAGATCTTTGTGTATTTTTATTTGCTATGTTTTGTTTTAATAATTGACTAATTTCTTGTATATAAACATGTTCGATTATGTCATTTTGTATCACACATGTTTGTCTTGCAGTACTATACTTTGCCCCCTCTAAAAGTTGATATAAAAGATTTTGACTTTTAACAAGATTCCTCGTGACGAAATGCAAACTTGTTAAACGCTAGTACATTATTCCAATTGCTACAAATAAACTTTTCTTATACCTTTAATTAATTCTGATCTGATAATATAATACTAAATTATATATTATATACTTATTAGTATTTGACAAAATCTCAGCATCTTTTCGACTTGGTGCGTTGGAACATCTAAAAAACTAGCCAGTCAACCTTAAAAAGAAAAAAGAAGGGTTTGTACGTCGGTAAAAAATTACAAACGCATATTACAAAAAAATAATAACTACTTCTCATTCTCAAATAAATTTGGATCGACTATATGAAACCTCACTGAGCATATGTTCCCCTTTTAAATTAATATGATGCGCAATATTATATAAAAAATAAAAAATCTAGAAGTTCTCTATATTATTTCCTGCTTGCATAATAATAGGGCTAAAAGACTATTAGAGAGCATAGGACTTAAAGTAAACATATTAACAAGTCTAATATATTTTCAACTAAAGTAAACGTATTACGCGCACAAAATATTAGTAATAAACAAAAGCAAAAATTTGTATTAATTAACTATAACTTAGTGATAACCAAATCGGTTGGTGTAAACACTAAACTAAATTTGAATGCAAAAAGTGAAAAATCATGTAATTAATATAGTAGGATTAATGTTGAAGAGGTCAATTGTATGGTCTTTGTGTTTTGGCCACTAGCTTGGAAAACTTTTGAAAAGTCTTGGTTCTTCAATGGCAGCTAGCTAGTTATTAATGCAAAATAAATTGGACTTCTCCTCTTGTTATTTCCTGCAGGCTGCCCTTAGGCCCCTTGACCAACTAACTATAGTCTTTTTGTTGTGGTTTCTCGCCGGGAGTTCGGTATCCTCATTGGAGTCAATTAAATCCGGATTCACGTCGAAAAGTGTCACATTGAGTGTAAACCGCTCTCTAACAACAACGACTTCATACCTAGAGCTCGAACTCGAGACTTCTGGTTAGTTAGTTAGACTAACTAACTATATTTACAATCAGGACCGGCTCTAACGTTATTCCAAGTAAGGCTTTTGCCTTAGGCCCCAAATGTTGGGGCCCTATTTTTCAGAAATAATAGGTTTATAGGTATTTAAAATAATAATATTTAGTACTTTTCATACAAAATTAGAATTTTTCTATAACAATTGCCTCAAAGAAAAGAAGTTTTTTCATATTATAATTGATAAAATCTTACGTGAGATTAACAATGTCTCAAGATAGATTAAACGGGTTGACTATATTATCAATTCAAAAGAAATTATTAAAGAAAATTAAATTAAAAAATTATTAACAACTTTGCATCTTGAAAAGATAGAAAATAGAGTTCAAATTAAAATATATATCATAACTTTCTTTTAAAAATTTAGGCCTCACATCAAACTTTGGATTTAGGCCACATATGTGTTTGAGCCGCCCCTGTTCACTATGATTGTTTTTTTGTTCTTCTTCTCTTTTTCTTTTTACACAATAATATAATAAAAGCTGCAATTTCATAGTAAATGAAAGCTAGTTGCCAACTAAAAAAGAAAATAAAAGAAACAATAATTAGAGGAAGACAAGGTATATACTACATCCAAGGTTTTAATGTTAAAAGATTAATAAAGATTTTGATGAGCTACTAAAACTTATAAAATTATTATTTTGTGAGAATGTTTAAAGGGACAGATGATTGAAACCCATTGTGCAATATTACTAAACTACATTTTCAAAGTTTTTTATCTTTCGTTTTTATGCTCATTTTCAACAAAATCAAAAAGTAAAAAGGAAATAAAAACAGGAAGTATTAGAAATTTAGGATGACCTCAAACAAGGGGCAATTTGCCTAATGCCTATTTAATTTCGAGTACCCCACCCCTAACACCACTATTTAATTATTTTTCTAGATGGAAGGTTTCTTTATATGATTTTTCCATTAGACCCATACCTTATTTAATTAAAGGGCAGCCCGGTGCACTAAGCTTCCGCTATGCGCGGGGTTCAGGGAAGGGCTGAACCACCATACCTTATTTAATTAAAGGGCAACCCGGTGCACTAAGCTTTCGCTATGCGCGGGGTTCAGGGAAGGGCTGAACCACCCTACCTTATTTAATTATATGAAAAGTTTGGCTGGCCAAATTTGTCCATTAATTTAGTACTCCCTCTGGTCTATATAATTTCCCTTTTATTGTTATTGTACACCCTTTTGAAGAAAATATTTTATAGCTTAATCATAACACTTTTTTTTTCTTAAACTATTATTTAATTTTTCCTTAAATGTTTTAATTCAATTAAGACTTTAATATTTTGAGCAGCAAAGGTAGATTTGAAAAACTAAATATCTTCTAATTTTTTCAAATGTTAAATATTTTGAAAGAGATTTATTAGCCAAAATAACTGATATGTGAGAGACGTAACTGTAAAACCTTTTTTGCACTCGATGTTTACATATTAGTTAAGTCATATATATAGGTGAAACTATAGATTAGTTAATTATGATTTTGTGATAAATGAACGTAAAGATACGTATAATCTATACATTAAATTGGTATAAATATTGAGTGCATATAAATTTGTGCCGAAATAAATAGCATTTAAAAGTATATATATTAGGGATCTTAGCATGGTAAAAAAAACTTTTATGAAAGTAATGGGTCCCTAATTCCCCAAAAATTGCCAATTCCACATTCCTCTTTGTCTACTGGCACATGTAATTTCCTTTCCTTTTCCTTCTAATATTTGAAAAAGAAAAAAAATTGACTTTTCATTAATATTTTATTTCCAAAATCCACCTCATTTGAATGATCTAGAGTTTGCAGACCTACTTTTATAGCAGTTTGGTGGCTAATATATAACATGGTTTTAAGTTATACATATGAATAATTAATTTAACTTTTATATAATATATTATATTATATAATTTGATTGCGTAAATATTTTTTATACAATTAATGCCAAAAAGTAAAACTCGAAGATCACCCTTCCCCAAGTCACAAATTACATTAAATTTATAGTACAGTCAAACCTCTCTATAACAGTCTCGTTTGTTTCGAATATTTTTTAATGTTATTGCGAAGTGTTGTTATAGAGAACATATATTATAACATAACATGAAATTTGGTTCCGTAAAAGTTTGGCTTTTATAATGAAGTGTTGTTATATAAGGATACTGTTATAGAGAGGTCTGACTGTACATGCTTAAAATAATTCTTACGATAATCTTTATATAGAAAGTAACACTTACTATAATCTATATCTTCTATATATTATTAAAAGGAGAGGATAAAGCCCTCTCCTTAAGCCAAGTGGCATCATAAAAAAAAGCCACATGACAAAATTAGTTACTAATTAGTTTTTTAGTTAATAATTAATTATTATTTTAAAAAAATCGAAAATATAAATATATAAAAAATAACTACCCATTCAAATTGGGTGGGAGTAGTTTCAAGTTGGAGTTTTAAAATAAAAAATTACAATTTCAAATTGTTTTGTTCGAAAACTAATTATACATGTATTAGTTATGTTGAGATTATTTCTTATCAACGATTTGGCTTGTTATATTATATAGGAGCTTAAATAACCGCTCTCTATATTTAGCACGCTTGGATGACATATATGGAAGGTTAACTTATATTCCAAGTTGTAACAAAAGCATGGGTTTTTTGGGTTTATTTTTGTATATATATTAGACTTTATTTAATACTTGGTTTATAAATATGATTAGTAATAGGTACTTAGTTTGCCACTAGATTTACTATAAGATCTTATTTCTTCATTCAAATATTATTTCTTCTTCTCTCTTCTATGTGTGTTTCTCTTTGTCCAAAGACAATGAAAAATCAAGATCAAAACTCCATAGCAATGGCTATCAAACTATTCAACACCCCATTAAATATTCTAAATCTTCTTTCTTCTTTCTTCTTCTTTGTTTGTGGTTTAACTTGTGGTATTATTTTCACTTTTTATTTCAAGAATTTTTATAGCCTCAATTTACAAGTCATTAATAGCCAAATATTATCATACT